CGGCGCGGCGGAGAGGCAGAAGACCCTGGCCGCGCAGGACGGCAAGTGCGCGCTGTGCGGCTGTGGGCTCCTGCGAGCTGGACCACGGTGCCGGTGGCAGGCCTTTGCGGGCAGCGTGCAAACAGTAGTAAGGAATGTCTGCCTATACTCCCCTATTCTTTTTCGGATTTGGGTCCCCAAACCCTGCAAAACAGCCAAATTCTTCAACCAGCTGAACGTTTTTCCGATGTCACCGGTCTTTGTCACCACTCCGTTTTTGGTGCAAAAAGCGCTGAAAACGGCGAACTCCGAAAAGTTCGTTTTTTCGTGTCAGACGTCGAAAGTGGTGCCGAGCCTCCAAGTTCGCTCGTTTTCCGCCGAAAACCGGCTCCAGGCGTTCGCCGTGCTCCGAATTCCGTTTTCTGCCCCGAAAAGCCTGCGAATTCCAGCCCGCTGAACTTGTCACCGCTTGTCACCGCTTTGTCACCACTCGCTTTTTGGGTGCAAAAGTGCGTAAAATCGGGCCCAGTTCCCGAGCTCCTTCTCCGCAGGGTTTTTCGCGGCCCGACAGCCCGCCGAGGTCCAGGCCCGGAGTCCGACAGCCCGCCGAGGTGGTCCGTCAGCCCGCCGAGCTTGTCACCACTGAAGTCACCGCTCCATCCGGCTCCGTTTTTTGGTGCAAAAAGCGCTCCAAACGGTCGAGTCCGAAGAGTCCGTTTTTCGTGTCGGACTGCAAGTTGGGATCTTTCGCAATATGGGGGGTACTTTCTGGAGGGATCTTTTTCAGGCCCAATTTAGAGCCATTGAAGAACATATAGGAAAATTAATTAAAATGCAATATCACGCGGAACAACATGTAGGAAAATGCAGGACAATGCAGCAACCAACGCAACCTGTGTAGAAACAAGTAGGACGCTTAAGAGCATCTGTGACCACCGTAGGGCTCTGAGTAGGAACAGGTGAGCAGCAGCAGCAGCAGCAGCAGCAGCAGCAGCAGCAGGAGCAGCAGCAGCAGCAGCAGCAGCAGCAGCAGCAGCAGCAGCAGCAGCAGCAGCAGCAGCAGCAGCAGCAGCAGCAGAGGAACAACAACAACAACAACAACAACAACAACAACAACAACAACAACAACAACAACAACAACAACAACAACCACAACCGCAACCGCAACCGCAACCGCAACCGCAACCGCAACCGCAACCGCAACCACAACGAACACGACGACAACAGCAACAGCAACAGCAACAGCAACAGCAACAGCAACAGCAACAACAACAACAACAACAACAACAACAACAACAACAACAACAACAACAACAACCGCGACGACGACGACGACGACGACGACGACGACGACAACAACAACAACAACAACAACCACAACCACAACCACAACCACAACCCACAACCCACAACCCACAACCACAACCACAACGACGACCACGACGACAACAGCGACAACAGCAACAACAACAACAACAACAACAACAACAACAACAACAACAACACCAGCAGCAGCAGCAGCAGCAGCAGCAGCAGCAGCAGCAGCAGCAGGAGCAGCAGCAGCAGCAGCAGCAGCAGCAGCAGCAGCAGCAGCAGCAGCAGCAGCAACTGCAACTGCAACTGCAGCAACCACAACACCAGCAACAGCAGCAGCAACAACTAGCGGCGGCAGCGGCAGCAACAGCAACAGCCACAGCCACAGCCACAGCGAACAGCAACTGCACCAACAGTCACACCAGCAACTACAACAGCAGCAGCAACAACACCAACACCAACACCAACACCAGCAGCAGCTGCTGCAGCAGCAGCACCAACAACAGCAGCAGCAACAACGACAACGACGACCACCACCACCACCACCACCACCACCACGACCGCCGCCGCCACCGCCACCACCAACAACAACAACAACAACAGGCAGACATCTAACTAGGCAGTATGTTGGAAGAAGCTTTCTGCGATAAACAATGCAGAATGCATCACTAGCTTTGGCTCATGCAGCCGCCATGCTGACCAGGATGCTATGGAGCCAAGAACTATCAGAACTTCAGGGTTTGGGACAGCTTAGCCACACATCTAAACTCATAGCTGAGCCTGTGGAAAGGACATGGAACGCTGGCCATGCTGGGTTTTGATTGTTCTTACTTTTGTGGGGGGGGGGGGTGGGCAGCTCTGGCACTGGCGCATGCTTACCAAAGCTGTGACAGAAAACGTGAAGCCCTGGTCAAGCCCTGACTTCCTTTTTGATTGGCTTTTGCCATGCCGAAACATGGAGCCCTTGCCATGCTTGATCCTTGTTTTCGCTTATAATGACCAGACTTACAGGCGCGGCAAAGGTAGCTGCAAGCGCTGTTTGCTTTGCGTGGGAGGGGTGCTTTGCGACACTTTGTCAATTGGCCGCTGTTGAAGGCCGTTCACCTCAAGGTCAGCAGGTGCTGTTTAGCCAGTGTCGAGCCATGGGGGGGAAAAAGAAGAAGGGCAACACACTTCCTCAGAGCCTAGCTTGCATGTGGCAAGTATGAGTGAGGCAGAGTGTGATGGACAGGAGTGCTTTTGCTGCGTTGGACTTTTGTTTCTGAGGCACATGATGTTTTCCAACCACCCACATCCAGCAATATATGGCCACTATGCTCCAGTCCAGCCGCTTCAGCCCATGCAGCCACAAGGCTACCCAATGATGGGCCAGTACCAGCAGCCAGCCCACATGAGTGTGGCGCAGCCCTCTCAGATGGGCGTGGTGGGCAGAGGGTTTTTGTGTGGCTTTCTCACGAGACAGGGAGGAAGACGAAGATGCTGTGGAACAGAGCCCCATGTCTTCACAGAGGTCAGGTGTTGCTGTTTAGCAGCGCGCAGCTTTGTAGCAGAGCCTGGCAGCCAAGGTTCCATGTCTGATGGTAGTGGTGGCTCTGGGTTCCTTGGGCAGCAGGCAGTTTGGTTGAGCGCGCAGCCTGTCTCCTTGGCGGGGGAGGGGCTTCTGGATTGAGGTCAAGCTCCACCAGTGGTGGCAAGAAAAGGAAGAACAAGAAGGCCAAGAAGTCCAAAGCAAAAAAGCAGAAACTGAAAGGCTTTCTGGCTGCACCAGCCATTTTGGGTGCGCTTTTTGGATTGTGCTCATTTTTCAGGAAAAGATGGTTCCTCTTCAGATGCAGACAGTCTCTTGGCTTGGTTGCATCAGCGTGGGGATCATGCCAGCCACAGTGTCTAGGGTCTGCGCATCCTTGCTGCCTGGCTGAGGCGTTGTGTTGGACAAGAGGGCTGTTCCAAAGTGCTGTTTGGCCAGATGGAAGAAAAGTAAAAACAACATATTCCCAAGGCCAGCGGTTTTGGACTTGCTTTGGCGCTTGTGCGCGCTCCTGGCATGAGCTAATGGCAGGCGAGATGCACTCAGATTCCTGAAGCACTTGGACCCAGACAAATTTCCTGATGGCCAGGGGCGCAGCGAAACATACTTGCGGCTTTTGCAATTTCACTTGGGCAAGTTGCAAGGTTGCTTGCCCTGCTGCAGGATTGAGGCAGCAGCTGGATGAGGTTGGCGTCGGCCAAGCACTGTTCCTGACCACAGGCTTTCCACCGTTCCTCAAGCTGAATGATCTCAGGGCCAAAAGCCGGGGAGATCTGACGCTTTGGCGTGGTCAGTCATGCAGTTTGTGTGGTGTGACTCCCAAAGCAGAATTCCGAGGAAGAAGAAGTTCGTGGACGCCAAGGAGAGGTTCAAGGTCCGGGTGGGGAAATATCGGATGGACGAGGTTGCTGAAGACTACGCAAATCTTGCCCTTTGGCTCATTGGTCATAGGTTGATCATTGGCGCGAAGTAACAGCTTTGTCAGGATGTGAGGGGTTTGCCAGTTTGCCCTTTGAATCGCATGTAGGGCTTGGTCGGCTTGCGTGGAGAGCTTGATTGTGGTGTTGAATGCTTGGTTGCATGGCGGGAGTGATTCTTGGTACGGAGAGCGTGGTTGCCTTAAATGGATGGCTTGATTGTGATGTTGCTTGGCATGGAGGGCTGGGTTGTGATGTTGTGGCCTTGCATGGAGGGCTTGATTGTAGTGATTCTTGGTATGGAGGGCTTGGTTGCCTTAAATGGATGGCTTGATTGTGATGCGTGAATTGCTTGGTTGTTGGCAAGGAGGGCTTGGTTGTGATGCTGTGGGCTTGCATGGAGTGCTTGGTTGTAGCGTGGAAGGCTTGACTGTGGCGATGCTTTGCATAGAGGGCCAGGGCTTGGCTGTGATGTTCAACCAAGCATGGAGTGCTTGGTTGCGATCCCGTAATCTTGCATCGAGGCCTGATGTCTTGGCGCGGTGTGCGTTTGTGTTGCTATGTTGAAAAGCAGACTGTCTGGAGTGTCTGGAGCCATGGTTTTCCAGATTTCAGCTTAGCCTGGCTAGCTTATGTGTGATGTGCTGCATGGCAAGCCTTGGCAGCCCTTCGTAGATGGCTTTGCTAAGGCCGATGTCGCGGCTAGGTATGGATGGGAGGACGCTTTTGGCGGCAGGCACCCAGATGCGATGACAGCTGCTTGCATTGCAATCCCTTTCTTGCTCATGCCCAGAAAGTTTTCTGTATTTCACAGGCAGTGACGCGCTACTGTGCCAGCTCAGGGGATGGGAACTGCCAATGAGGACAACAGGCCCATGTTCAGGCTGGAAACAGCAAAGTCAGGGGATGTTTGGCTGTTCTGCAAGCATGGAACCTTGGCTTTGGTTTTGCAGGCAAGTTGTGCTGAGGGGTAGGAAAGCCCGCGTGGGAACTTCGCATTTGTGTCGCCAAGGAGGGACTGGGGATGGAAAGATGGTTGTGCCAGCCGGGGTGCCAGCGATCAAGGTCTACAGGAACTCACAGTTTCTTTGCTCTTGCAAAGAGCATTCGACTTGTAGCTTTTGTCTTGTGCTCCATCTTTGAATGTGCTCCCAAGCTTGTCAAGGCTCCTGATGCAGGGACCTGGCCCAGACCATGAAGAAATGGACTGCAAAGATATTTACACGTCAGATGAGGGGTACCAGAAGTGGGTCCAGTGCTTGATGAGAGCAGCTAAGGCAAACCCTGACCAGAAGTGGGCCCAGTCTTTTCAGGACCTGGGCAGTGTGCAGCCTTACGAGGCAAAAGAGAAAGTCCAGGCAGAGGTCAGCAAGTTTCTTCTGGCCAAGAAGCAGGCAGCACAAGGACCTCTAATTATTTGCAACACTTACCCAGCCGACGCCTTTTGTTTTGCACCTGCAGGAAGCACGCTGCCACTCCAGCAGCCATTGGCAGATGCTCAGTCAGAAGGGCTGCTAGCAACAGGAAAGGCAGCAGCAGAACAGGCTGCAGGCCAGCAAGAGCTGGCGCAACTGAAGGCAGAAGTGGCAGCGCGCAAAGCAGAAGCTCTGGCAGCAGCAACACATCAAGCAATTCCAGCAGCAAGGCAGGAACAATCAGCTGAGGTGAGGAAGCTGAAGGAAGAGCTGCGTGCCGAGGCAATGCAAACTGCCATTCGCCAGGCGCAAGAGCAAGAGCTGCAGCAGCTTAAGGCAGAACTTGCAGCAAGGCAAGCGCACAGCAAGACAGAACAAGAGGCGCAAGCAAAGCAAACTGACAGGCATTCTGCAGCAGAGGCGCAGCAGGTTGCAGAGCTGAAGGCAGAGCTTGCAGCGCAGGAAGCAGAAGCAGCGCAAGCACACCAGGCGGAGCAGCTGGCAGAAGCAAAGCAGCTGGCAGCAGAAGAGGCTACCAGGCAGAAGCAGGAGCTAGCGCAGCTCACGGCAGAACTTGCAGCGCAACAAGAACAGCAGCAACTGACAGAAGCAGAGCAGGCAGCAGCAGCGCATGCCAACTTTGCACTTCAGAAAGCAGAGCTGCAGTCGCAACTTGCAGCGCAACTGGCACAAGCCAAGCAGCTTGCAGCAGAGG